GGGTTGCAGGCTCCATCCCCAGTGGGGGGCGTGCAGGAGGCAGCAGACCCATGATTCTCTCTCATCATTGATGTTTCTATCTCTCTCCCCCTCTCCCTTTCTCTCTGAGCTCAATTGGAAAAAAAAAAAAAAAAAAAAAAAAAGCTAGAACTCACAGCCCACGACTGCGACCTCCGGGATGAATGGGCCCCGGCCAGAGATTCATCACTTCCGCAGGGTGCCCGCACGGCCCTGAAATGACTGATGTTTGCGGGCGAGGCTGGCAGCAGCGGCAGTGGCGTCGCGGGAGACAGATGGCCTGTCCGTCTGCATTAGCACAGATAAGCCGTTTAATTTAATTTCGAAACGACTGTCGGGTGCTTAAAAGAGCAAGAGGAATAACAGACGAGGCTTCGCGCCTTGTTTATCCCGGAGCAGTTACTGCGCGGCTCCCCGAGGCTGTCGGTTTAATTAACTTTGGCGTCTGGGGAAGCGGCTCTTATCGACGCGAGAAAGCCGCTCGCCGCGGGCCCTACGCCTTCGCCTTCATTCACCTGGTGCCGCGTCAGGGGGTGTCAGGGACTCTGAGTTTGGGGGCTCGCACCCCAGCGGCCAGGCCTCCGAGGGCAGCATTTGGCCACCGTCACCTCTTCCCGCTGCCGCTGGGCTTTTTGGGGATTTGGGTTGGAGCCAGCAGAATTCTCTGCTGAGGATGATGAAAGCGGGACACCTTCTTCCAGCAGCAGGACGCCAGGAGCCGGAGGGCTGGGGGGCTCAGGGACCCCAGGGAGCCGGGGAGGAGGGGTGTCCCGTGGACAGCGTGCCGGGGGAGAGGCACCTGCCTCAGGTCCCAGGACAGAGGACGGTGAAAGTGCAGAATTATTATTATTATTGAATTCAGAGAGAGGGAGGGAGAGAGAAAGAGAAACATCAATGATGAGAGAAAATCATGAATTGGCTGCCTCCTGCACGCCCCCGACTGGGGATCCAGGCCACACCCTTGGCACGTGCCCTGACCGGGAATCGAACCTGGGACCCTTCGGTCTGCAGGCCGACGCTCTATCCACTGAGCCCCACCAGCCAGGGCAGTGCAGGATTATTCTCTGTCCCCAGGTCATGGGAACCAGGGAGGCCCCTGTGACCTCACAGCCCAGCGACACAGAGACCCACACACCACCCCGGTGTCCTGCTTTCTCCTCTGACCTTTGGGGAAACGCCCTCCTGGGACCTCGGGGTGCAGGGGCCGCGGTCAGTCAGGGCAGTACCAGGAGGGGCTTCTCCTCGCCCTGAAAGAGACTCGGCTGGGGTAATGACCGCGGTGCCTTCCCTGGGGGGCAGCCAGGCTCCCGTCCTCTCTGGAAGCACGGGGCCCACCTGGACGCAGCGAGGGGACACCTGGTAGGCTGGGCACACTCCCAGCTGAAACCTGTGGCCTGGAAGCCTGCCGGCCTGCTTGTCAGGTGATGCTGTGAGAATGGGGAGATGCCCGGCCGAGTCAGGGCAGTACCAGGAGGGGCTTCTCCTCGCCCTGAAAGAGACTCGGCTGGGGGAATGACCGCGGTGCCTTCCCTGGGGGACAGCCAGGCTCCCGTCCTCTCTGGAAGCACGGGGCCCACCTGGACGCAGCGAGGGGACACCTGGTAGGCTGGGCACACTCCCAGCTGAAACCTGTGGCCTGGAAGCCTGCCGGCCTGCTTGTCAGGTGATGCTGTGAGAATGGGGAGATGCCCGGCCGGCGTGGCTCAGGGGTTGAGCATCAACCTATGAACCAGGAGGTCACAGTTCGATTCCCCGTCAGGGCACAGGCCCGGGTTGCAGGCTCCATCCCCAGTGGGGGGCGTGCAGGAGGCACCTAATCCATGATTCTCTCTCATCATGGATGTTCCCCTCTCCCTCTCCCTTCCTCTCTGACATCAATAAAAATATATTTTAAAAAAGAATGGGAGAAACCGGGAAACCGTTGGTGCCCAGGTTCTGCCCTGGGAGGCCCTCTAGCCGGGGGAGCTGGGTGCATGCTCTGTGGGAGCTTGGCATCTGGGCTCCCGTCCTGGGGCCCCGGGTCCTTGGGCCCCAGAGGCTCCCACCGTCAGGCCGGAGGCGGGAGTAAGTGCTTGGCCCTGGATGTGATGGGAGAGGGGAGTTTCTCTCCTGTGCTGTTCCCCGCAGCCATGAGGTGCTGTCTTGTCCTAGAGGCCCCAGGACAGCATGCGTGTGTGTGTGTGTGTGTGTGTGTGCGCGCGCGGGGGCGGGGAGGGTTCCTGCTTCTCGACTCCACCCTGGAGCCCCAAAGCGGCTTCTCATCATCGATGTTCCCCTCTCTCTCTCCCTTCCTCTCAGACATCAATAAAAATATATTCTAAAAAAGAATGGGAGAAACCGGGAAACCGTTGGTGCCCAGGTTCTGCCCTGGGAGGCCCTCTAGCCGGGGGAGCTGGGTGCATGCTCTGTGGGAGCTTGGCATCTGGGCTCCCGTCCTGGGGCCCCGGGTCCTTGGGCCCCAGAGGCTCCCACCGTCAGGCCGGAGGCGGGAGTAAGTGCTTGGCCCTGGATGTGATGGGAGAGGGGAGTTTCTCTCCTGTGCTGTTCCCCGCAGCCATGAGGTGCTGTCTTGTCCTAGAGGCCCCAGGACAGCATGCGTGTGTGTGTGTGTGTGTGTGTGTGTGTGTGTGCGCGCGCGGGGGCGGGGAGGGTTCCTGCTTCTCGACTCCACCCTGGAGCCCCAAAGCGGCTACATGCACAATACATAAACAGGTGGCCGTGGCCATGTGCCGATAAAACTTTATTTATAAAAACAGGCGAGGGGCTCTGGGTCCTCATTGGCTGACCCCTGCCTTAGAGTGACAAGGGTCGGCGCCTGGCCCGGGCGCGGGGCGGGGGGGATGG